TGCCGAGAGACTAGCAAGGCGGGCCAGACGGGAGCTGCTGGCTGGACATCAGGCTCGCAGATGTCACGGCGCTCAGGGTGGCTGTCGCCTTCTCTCCCACAGACATCAGCGTTTTCTGACCCCACCCCACCAGCAGACCAGCAGCCTGGACAGCAGAAGAGCTCGCACACTCACAGTCACCCTAAAAAGAGGCCCAGGCATCGCTGTTCACCCCCAGCTGCCCCCCATGAGTTCAGAGCATACCAGCTCTACACGCTGTACCGGGGCAAGGACGGCAAAGTGATGCAGGTACCTGCCGGGCCCTGTCAGGGCAGGACTGTAGGCCGTAAGCGAGGTGCCTGTGTAACCCTGTTGCTGGGGGCTAATGTCCACTTTCGGCGGTGACTACAGAAGGCATGAGCTTTGAAGATAAGCCAGCTGGCCCTCCCCACCTAACCTGTGCAGTACCCTCCTGCCACTTAGGCCTGGAGAGCACAGGGATGTTACAGAGCTCTCTGCACCATCCTTAGGTGACTGCATAGATAATCTTGAGGCCGGATAGTGAATAAAAGCAGCTTGAGGACTGGGACCGTATGTTACACTCTCTGAATCTTCTTAGCGTCTACGGAGGCAAGGCTTGGCCTGTCAGTCCAAAGTTACCACAGGGATGAGTCTTCTCCATCACGTGTGGTCCCCTGGTGTACTGACAGACACATATTTTCAGAAGGAACGAACGACTTGGATTGATTCCTTTTTGTCTTCCCTCTTAGGCACCAATAAATGGCTGTCGATGTGAACCCCTGATCAACAAGCTGGAGAATCAGTTGGAGGCAACTGTGGAGGAGATCAAAGCAGAGCTGGTGTCGGTTCAGGATAAGATGAACACGAAGCTGGGGCACATGGAGAATAAGACCCAGCACCAAGTAAGCGGTTGCCATCCTTCTCATGGCGTGGTGTCCTGGCAGAAAATGAAATCAGACCTCAGCACACCTTTCTGTTCTGCAGACTCTGCCCTGAGCATGTCGGGCAGGCTGTCGGGGAAAGAGACCTGTGATTTCTCTTTTTTTTCCTAATTTTATTTCTCTATACAGCAGGTTCTTATTAGTTACCTATTTTATACATGTTAGTGTATACACGTCAATCCCAATCTCCCAATTCATCCCACCACCACCCCACCCTCCTGCCGCTTTCCCCGCTTTGTGTCCATATGTTTGTTCTCTACATCTGTGTCTATTTCTGCCCTGCAAACTGGTTCATCTGTACCATTTTTCTATGTTCCACATACATGCGTTAATATACGGTATTTGTTTTGCTCTTTCTCATTTACTTCACTCTGTATGACAGTCTCTAGATCCATCCACGTCTCTACAAATGACCCAATTTCATTCCTTTTTATGGCTGAGTAATACTCCATTGTATATATGCACCACATCTTCTTTATCCATTCGTCTGTCGATGGTCATCTAGGTTGCATCCATGTCCTGGCTATCATAAACAGTGCTGCAACGGACATTGAGGTGCATGTGTCTTTTTGAATTATGGTTTTCTCTGGGTATATGCCCAGTAGTGGGATTGCTGGGTCATATGGTAATTCTATTTTCAGTTTTTTAAGGAACCTCCATACTGTTCTCCATAGTGGCTGTATCAATTTACATTCCCACCAACAGTGCAAGAGGGTTCCCTTTTCTCCACACCCTCTCCAGCATTTACTGTTTGTAGATTTTTTGAGGATGGACGTTCTGACTGGTGTGAGGTGATACCTCATTGTAGTTTGGATTTGCATTTCTCTAGTGACTAGTGATGTTGAGCATCCTTTCATGTGTTTGTTGGCAATCTGTATATCTTCTTTGGAGAAATATCTATTTAGGTCTTCTGCCCATTTTTGGATCGGGTTGTTTGTTTTTTTGATATTGAGCTGCATGAGCTGCTTGTATATTTTGGAGGTTAATCCATTGTCAGTTGTTTTGTTTGCAAATATTTTCTCCCATTCTGAAGGTTGTCTTTTCATCTTGTTTGTAGTTTCCTTTGCTGTGCAAAAACTTTTAAGTGTCATTAGGTCCCATTTGTTTATTTTTCTTTTTATTTCCATTACTCTAGGAGGTGGGTCAAAAAGGATCTTGCGGTGATTTATGTCATAGAGTGTTCTGCCTATGTCTTCCTCTAAGAATTTTATAGTATCTGACCTTACATTTAGGTCTTTAATCCATTTTGAGTTTATTTTTGTGTATGGTGTTAGGGAGTGTTCTAATTTCATTCTTTTACAAGTAGCTGTCCAGTTTTCCCAGCACCACTTATTGAAGAGACTGTCTTTTTTCCATTGTATATCCTTGCCTCCCTTGTCATAGATTAATTAACCATAGGTGCATGGGTTTATCTCTGGGCTTTCTATCCTGTTCCATTGATCTATATTTCTGTTTTTGTGCCAGTACCACATTGTCTTGATTACTGTATCTTTGTAGTATAGTCTGAAGTCAGGGAGTCTGACTCCTCCAGCTCCATTTTATTCCCTCGAGAACACTTTGGCTATTTGGGGTGTTTTGTGTCTCCATATAAATTTGAAGATTTTTTGTTCTAGTTCTGTAAAAAATGCCATTGGTAATTTGATAGGGATTGCATTGAATCTGTAGATTGCTCTCGGTAATATAGTCATTTTCACAATATTGATTCTTCCAATCCAAGGACATGGTATATCTCTCCATCTGTTTGTGTCATCTTTAATTCCTTTCATCAGTGTCTTATAGTTTTCTGCATACAGGTCTTTTTTCTCCCTAGATAGGTTTATTTCTAGGTATTCTAATCTTTTTGTTGCAGTGGTAAATGGGAGTGTTTCCTTAATTTTTTTTTCATGTTTTTCATCATTAGTGTATAGAAATGCAAGAGATTTCTGTGCATTAATTTTGTATCCTGCAACTTTACCAAATTCAATGATTAGCTCTAGTAGTTTTCTGGTGGCATCTTTAGGATTCTTTATGTATAGTATCATGTCATCTGCAAACAGTGACAGCTTTACTTCTTTTCCAATTTGTATTCCTTTTATTTCTTTTTCTTCTCTGATTGCTGTGGCTAGGACTTCCAAAACTATGTTCAATAATAGTGGTGAGAGTGGACATCCTTGTCTTGTTCCTGATCTTGGAGGAAATGCTTTCAGTTTTTCACCATTGAGGATGATGTTTGCCGTGGGTTTGTCATATATGGCCTTTGTTATGTTGAGGTAGGTTCCCTCTGTGCCCACTTTCTGTAGACTTTTTATCATAAATGGGTGTTGAATTTTGTCAAAAGCTTTTTCTGCCTCTGTTGAGATGATCATATGGTTTTTCTTCTTCAGTTTGTTAATATGGTGTATCACATTGATTTGCGTATATTGGAGAATCCTTGCATCCCTGGGATAAATCCCACTTGATCATGGTGTATGATCCTTTTAATGGGTTGTTGGATTCTGTTTGCTAGTGTTTTGTTGAGGATTTTTGCATCTATATTCATCAGTGATATTGGTCTGCAATTTTTTTTTTTTTTGTAGTATCTTTGTCTGGTTTTGGTATCAGGGTGATGGTGGCCTCATAGAATGAGTTTGAGAGTGTTTCTTCCTCTGCAAATTTTTGGAAGAGTTTGAGAAGGTTGGGTGCTGTTAGCTCTTCTCTAAATGTGTGATAGAATTCACCTGTGAAGCCATCTGGACCTGGACTTTTGTTTGTTGGAAGATTTTTAATCACAGTTTCAATTTCATGTAATTGGTCTGTTCGTATTTTCTGTTTCTTCCTGGTTCAGTCTTGGAAGGTTATACCTTTCTAAGAATTTGTCCATTTCTTCCAGGTTGTCCATTTTATTAACATAGAGTTGCTTGTAGTAGTCTCTTAGGATGCTTTGTATTTGTGTGGTATCTGTTGTAACTGCTCCTTTTTCATTTCTAATTCCATTGATTTGAGTCCTCTCCTTTTTTTTTTGATGAGTCTGGCTAATGGTTTATCAATTTTGTTCATCTTCTCAAAGAACCAGGTTTTAGTTTTATTGATCTTTGCTATTGTTTTCTTTGTTTCTGTTTCATTGATCTGATCTTTATGATTTCTTTCCTTCTGCTAACTTTGGGTTTTGTTTGTTCTTCTTTCTCTAGTTCCTTTAGGTGTAAGGTTAGATTGTTTATTTGAGATTTTTTTTGTTTCTTGAGGTAAGCTTATATTGCTATAAACTTCCCTCTTAGAGCTGCTTTTGCTGCATCCCATAGGTTTTGGATCATCGTGTTTTCATTGTCATTTGTCTCTAGGTATTTTTTAATTTCCTCTTTGATTTCTTCAGTGATCCGTTGGTTATTTAGTAATGTTTAGTGTCCTTGTGTTTGTGTTTTTTATGTTTTTGTCTGTAATTGATACTAATCTCACAGCGTTGTGGTCAGAAAAGATGCTTGATATGATTTCAGTTTTCTTAAACTTACTGAGGCTTGATTTGTGACCCTATATGCGATCTATGCTGGAGAATATTCCGTACGCACTTGAGAAGAAAGTGTAATCTGCTGTCTTTGGGCGGAATGTCCTATAAATATCAATTAAATCTATCTGGTCTATTGTGTCATTTAAAGCTTTTGTTTTCTTATTAATTTTCTGTTTGGATGATCTGTCCATTGGTGTAAATGAGGCATTAAAGTCCCCCACTATTATTGTGTTACTGTCGATTTCCTCTTTTATAGCTGTTAGCAGTTTCCTTATGTATTGAGGTGCTCCTATGTTGGGTGCATATATATTTGTAACTGTTATATCTTCTTCTTGGATTGATCCCTTGCTCATTATGTAGTGTCCTTCCTTGTCTCTTGTAACATTCCTTATTTTAAAGTTTATTTTATCTGTTATGAGTATTGCTACTCCAGCTTTCTTTTGATTTCCATTTGCATGGAATATCTTTTTCCATCCCCTCGCTTGCAGTCTGTATGTGTCCCTAGGTCTGAGGGGGTCTCTTGTAGACAGCACATATATGGGTCTTGTTTTTGTATCCATTCAGCGAGCCTGTGTCTTTTGGTTGGAGCATTTAATCCATTCATGTTTAAGGTAATTATTGCTATGTATGTTCCTATGACCATTTTCTTAATTGTTTTGAGTTTGTTTTTGTAGGTCCTTTTCTTCTCTTGTGTTTCCCACTTAGAGAAGTTCCTTTAGCATTTGTTGTAGAGCTGGTTTGGTGGTGCTGAATTCTCTTAGCTTTTGCTTGTGTGTAACACTTGATTTTTCCGTTGAATCTGAATGAGATGCTTTCTGGATAGGGTAATCTTGGTTGTAGGTTCTTCCCTTTCATCACTTTAAATATGTCATGCCACTCCCTTCAGGCTTGTAGAGTTTCTGCTGCGAAATCAGCTGTTAACCTTATGGGAGTTCCCTTGTATGTTATTTGTCATTTTTCCCTTGCTGCTTTCAATAAATTTTCTTTGTCTTTAATTTTTGCCAGTTTGATTACTATGTGTCTCGGCATGTTTCTCCTTGGGTTTATCCTGTATGGGACTCTCTGTGCTTCCTGGACTTGGATGGCTATTTCGTTTCCCACGTTAGGGAAGTTTTTGACTATAATCTCTTCAAATGTTTTCTCGTGTCCTTTCTCTCTCTCTCTTCTCCTTCTGGGACCCCTATAATGTGAATGTTGTTGTGTTTAATGTTGTCCCAGAGGTCCCTCAGGCTGTCTGCATTTCTTTTCATTCTTTATTCTTTATTCTGTTCTGCAGCAGTGAATTCCACCATTCTGTCTTCCAGGTCACTTATCCGTTCTTCTGCCTCAGTTCTTCTGCTATTGATTCCTTCTCGTGTATTTTTCATTTCAGTTATTGTATTGTTCATATCTGCTAAACATTTCTTGTATCTTCTTGATCTTTGCCTCCATTCTTTTTCTAAGGTCCTGCATCATCTTCACTGTCATTCTGAATTCTTTTTCTGGAAGATTGCCTATCTCG